GAAGGGGGACGAAAGCCAGCAAGAGAGCACCGGCCCACAACAACGGTGCCCACATGTGCCCACAGCAATTGAGCACGGCCGCCGAGCTGCACGTGCCGAGCTGGCGGTGGCTGGAAGAAGTGGAGGCAGAAGGGGCGCAGGTGGGAGAGGAAAAAGGAGGAAGCGTCGGAAACGCTCAAGAGGGACTTCCTTTCCGTTTTGCCTTTTCAAACGCCATCTAGCGACCTCTACCGGCAAACACTTGTGGGTTGCAAGTGAAAGCACTTTTTTTGATATTCTAGAAAGTCCGAAGCTTGAGGGGATGCAGAATATGATGTAGGTGACTGACTACAGTGACTAAAGAACTACATACTACATATAAAGTTGAATAAAAAATAAGAAGAAATGTGCTACAGTCACATCAGGTCATGGAACGTGTGCGCCCTCAACCAAGAAGCGAAGAACACGCTCCCAACCGCTGGGGGTTCTCACGAGAATCCAGGCTATTCGCTTCTGGTGGTTCAGCGACCAGGGCCTCAACTCCACGGGTGGCATATTGGCCGATCGGTTGGGGTGGTTTCAGAGATCAATATGTAAGCGTACCTATATAGGCATATATATATATATATTATATGTTATAATCCCCCATGAAAATCACATGGAGGAGTCAGTCCATCCTTTAGTGATTTCCTGGGGAATGATGAATGTCAGCTCCCTAGAAGATGAGGAACGCAGCTTCATGAACCCTTGGTTGGCATAATCTAGTGCATCACTAGAAACTGAGCCCCAAATTTCAATCACACCTCTTGGAACCGTGATTGGCGCGTCTTCTTTTTGAACCTGCGCTTGGCATTTTCTAGTGAATGCTCTGGTGCCTTGATCCTGCTTTCTCCTACATCATCTAAATGTTGTGAGGACGCCCAAAAGCAAACAAAGCATACAAAAGCTAAGTTGATTGAACAACAGCTACCAAACTCTGTGTAAGTGTCTGAGGATTTGGGTGTGCCAGGTGCTGGTCGAGACACCAAAGCCACTAGAAAATGGTTCACACACCCTAAAGACCTAGAACCTTCTAGTGAGTTGGTCTGGCCGGATACCAGCTACCCTTCCATTTTTGCCCAGAGTGCCAGAAATGGAATGGTAGGGTAGTCTGAGGATTTGGGTGTACCAGTTGCTGGTCGAGACACCAAAGCCACTAGAAAATGAGGAGCACACCCTAAAGACCTAGAACCCACCAATTTCTAGTGGATTGGTCTGGCTGGATACCCCACCTTTCCATTTCTGGCCAGAGTGCAAGAAATGGAAGGGTAGGGTATGGCAGTGTCTGAGGATTTGGGTGTACCTTGTGCTGGTCGAGACACCAAAGCCACTAGAAAATGAGGATCCCCACTATAAAATTAGGATCACGGTGGGATCAAGAAAACAAGGTGATGTCTAGAAAATGACCCTGCCAGCATGCCTATGAGACCTGTGATCCTCATTTTCTAATGACCTACATGTCACTAGAAAATGCCATACAAGTACCTGACCCCTTCCCGGTGAGTTTACCTCCTTGAGACTAAAGAATGCCCGTTTTCTACACACGTCAACCCCTCCCATTTTCTAGTCCGAATATCATGGGGGATATATATATATATATATATATCAATTATATATAGGATCAATTAGGATCATATATGCTGGTCGGATGGACTGGGGCATGATGCTACTGCTATAGCTAGCATCCTTTCAAAAGCACCCTGAGATGCCCTGCAGCACAGGCTTTCCACGGAGCTAGGCCTGCTTCTCGCATGGCGTTGCTCACCTGCCGACACCGAATGTCCTCCACTCCTCCGTCCGTCTAGGAAACTGTTCGTGACCGTCACAACGAGTCCCTGACGCACATGCCATCGCAGGCCGTGGTGAACTCCGTCATGGGATCCTGAACTCTTCCCTGGTCAGACGGGGGCGGAACCCTCGCAAGCAGGGCCCCGCAGGCGAAACGGAGGGCAAAAACCGACCCAGTTCTCAAACCCGGATGGTGTCAACGGGCCCGGATTCTGAGTGAGAGAGAGAGAGAGTTCTTTCGGGGTTCTGATCGTGATGATCTCTGGGTGGGGCTATGGCATTCCGCTCTGTGTTATGTTTTGAGAGTCCAAGAGGTGTTACAGAGTGAGAGTCTATGCAGTTCCAACAGACGTTGGATGGGATTGTCGCTATCTTTTGCTGTTTATTTCATTCTATGTGGATTCTTGTCACAGAATCTCGAACAAGTGGTAATCCCCCCTACAAATCCAGGTCCAGTACCGAACTTCAGGTTCGGTACGACTGGACCCCCGACGTTTCGCCCAGTCATGATCAGCCATGCCTGCCGTCCAGTCACCATTCAACGGTTCGGTACGACGATCCCAACACGATCGACGCGCTCTTGTGACGTGAACACTCGACGGAGCGCCTCGAAGTCCGTGGCTGCCTCAGCTCTGGCAGGTTCTGCCTTCTGCCGCGTCATGCTACTGCTTTTCCCGCACTGAACGACTCTTGATCCTTCGGACTTGAAAAAGAAAGAGTCCAGCATGGAAGCAACCAACAGCAACGTGGCTGTCAATTGAAATAGGGAGTTCTCCCATTTCGACCCCCTCGACAGAAGGAACATCATCAATTACCCAGACGCTCCTGGACCCTCATACGCAGGGGTCGCACCCTCATATGGAGGGGTCTGGACCCTCAAATCCCTATGGTTTTGAGGGACCAAGGGCTGTTTGGAGCGTCTGGGTAGACCCAAAACAATGCCAAAACCCCTCGTTTCGGGTCTGACCCTCTGAACACCGGGGAGGGGCAGTAGGCCGGCGCCGGTCAAGAAACACATCGCATTTGCCGCCAAACCCAGCCAGGGCCAGGGGGTCTCCCCTGGCCCAACGCACCCACCATCACCCACATGGAGCTTCAGAACTCCCCCAACCCCATTGGGCCAGGGGGTCTCCCCCTTGCTTCCACGCCTAACCTTTCTTCCCCTGGGATTCCCGGCCAATGCAGCCACCATCAACTCTCCGAGAAGCTCCACTCCGTCGGAGGCGTCCGAGGCCTCGGGTCACCCGAACGGAGGGGGATCTGGCGAAAGCTTAGTAGCTTCAGGACACTTCCAAAATGAAACACACCAGTACGCTAACTTTGTGATCACACAGTATCAAAGCACAAAAAGAATATAAAAAAGTGGTCAATACTTGGCTGATGGATATAAACCAAAGTCCCAAGCCAGGCCGCTAGGCACTAAACATGGTATACGTAGACATCCCTAGCTCGGACACTCAGGGTGTCCAGTCGTGGGATCCAGGTAACGAGGCGACCAAGAAGACTTCTGCGGGAGGAGGTGCTGGGTACCCACCGAGGCCGTTCTCGTGATGTCACGCGTTGTCTCGGGAGGACGAAGAAATCGTGCCTCAGGCTTGATGACCGCAGCCAACTCTTCGTACAAATCCACATTGAAGGATTTCACCTGACGCTGCAACCTGTTTGGTGGAGTGAGTCTCTGCTGGGCTATGCTGAAATCGAACAGTACAGTAGTTGTAAAGACTTGATGAATGTTCTCAAACGAAAGGGCTTGCAAAGGCCTGAGAAAGCATGCGAGCTTGCCCCTTGCCATCCTGTCAGCAAGAAGAGCTGGATGCCACAACATGTTTGAACTTCTCGGCCCGTCCTGGCCGCCCAGAAGAGCAGAGGCAAGACGCAAGGATCCCTCGTCAGGAGCTGTCAACGCAATGGATCGCCAAACAGGATCGGAGTCGGACATGCACGATCGGATCGACGAGGCGGCTTCTGCCGCCAGTCAATGGACATGCACGTAAACACCCCCTGTCGATGCAGTTGGCCTCATGGCCGGTCGAACGACTGGTATGCCATGTCTGCCACATGCACGTCTGCCTCAGGCCCGAAAGTCTTGTTGAAGGCCAAGTGGAAGAAGTCGAAGCAGGCCTTGAAGCCGTATCCTGGGCCATCTCACCGGCTTTGAGCTTCTCTACGCCAAGAACTGCTGTGAACAAAAAACAGTACCGTCTGGTTTGAATACGCATGCTTTTTGCAAATCAAGAGAACATCAAATAAGTTGTCTCCATGCCCCTTCAGCATGTGACGGCAGTGTACCGTGCTTGCTCGTAGACAAAAATGGAGATGTGTATGGTAGTTTGTACATATGCGTATATACATGTATATACGATATACCTATAGAACCTGCAGAAACTTAGAGTACAAGCACTTGGTTTTCTACAATATTTTTAGTCTATCAAAATCAAAACAGGGGTCACCCGGGTTCGAATTAGGTACACATGCATCAAACCCCTTGTTTCGTTTCGTGTTGGATTCGCTTCACGTTCACTCCGTTTCGCAAACTCAGAACACTCAACACCCATCTCTTCCCCACAAGAGGATGCATCCATATGGTTCTGGGTAGACCTACCAGGATACCTTAGTAGACCTACCAACGAAGGAAGAAGACCACCCGAAAACAGCCAAAACATGCCAAAACCAGGTTGCGTTGCCTCCAATCTTCTGATACTCCGTAAATTTCCGGCTTCCAGCCTGTCTCGACATGAGGCTGACCAACAAAGACTAGCTCTGCAATCCTCTGCACCTGTACACTTCAAGAGTGTTACACTGGACGAACTCTGACAAACTGGAACGCACCAACAGATAGGGGTGAAGCCACCAGCTAACGCCACTTAGCCTAGCATGAGCCTACAGCCTAAGACAGGCCAGCAAGGCCACTTTGGTCCGCAAGGGCCTGGGCAGCTCCAGCCGCTCCAGTCCAAACACGGGTCACCCGAAATGTCTGGATTCAATCATCCCCCCCGATGCTTGATATCCGGTTGGTGTTTTCAAAAAAATATGAGTCAGAGGGTCCTTCTTCATCCCCAAGTGGCTGGGTTGAACATAAAAATATCCGAAACCATCCGAAACCATCACCTATAGATATGGGTCTGGATATCTAGTCCCAACGAACGTTTGAATGTTGAACAAACACGTGTCCGTCGAAAGAAGGCTGACCTTTTGGTGCATGCGCAGGGTAAACATACTCCAAAGGCGCCTTTTGCTGCCACACAATGTCCAAATCCATCATATCCATCCCCGTAAATCTCGTCAGCAGGCTGCCAGAGTGCCAGTCCAGGCCCAATCCACCGATGGACTGGCGGCCAGTCATGCGAAATGGATTTGGGCTGTGGATCGGCGCAGGCTCGCGGGCGCTGCATGAGTCACTTCTACGGCTTGGAGCCTTCAAGTAGGACGAGGATCGACTGCATCACCGACTGCTGGCCATGGCTGGAGGCTGTCACCCGCTTTCGATGTCTGGAAGCAGTCATCATGAGTCACATGATGAGTCACAGAGATGTCTGGCCGTCACCAGTCCCAGCCTTCCAGGACTTCCACACCAGCTCGCTTCATTTGCACCACGGCCAAATCCACCGCCGACTTCCCCCGACACAACTCGCGGCCGTAGATCTGTACCAAAACGGGCGCCGCCTCGGCGGTGGGCTGGAAGTTCTCCGTGCGCGCACCACAAAGCTTCAAATCCACGACAACACGAAGCTTCCTTGGATTTGTGTCTCGGGAACCGACCAAAAATATTCCCCATGCAAGAGGATTGATATGGATTGATCCATGCCATAGAGAAAATAATACATCACCTTAAGCAAAACGAGGTTTCCCAGTCAATCCTTGTTCTTCAAGCTGGCCAACAATTTCAGTTGAACTGACTCTCACACATGATGTTGTGGTACAGCCACCAATCACAAGAACGCTGATGCCTTTCCTTAGCAATTCAAACCACTCCATCGATGCTCAAATCTTTCATTCGCTCATCCTAGCTCCAAAGACCCTACCTCATGGCTTGAGTGTCTCATGTACGATGTACGATCATTTATAAAAGTGCACCGGTTTCATCTCTGAAGGCAGATCAATCAACCGCTGCCGGTTTCCAGGATCTCCGCTTCGTACTCCGAACCACAAAGCTCTTTTCGACCCCACGGGGAACTAGTGGAGATTCCTTGGACGTCCGACTCAGTGCATTGAGAACCTTCCGGTGTTGCCAGGCATCTCTACCTGCTCATGCAGCCATTGAAAGAAGGCTGGATTGTAGGTCACATCCATGGTCGGCTTGTGAATACACGGGCGTTTCCTCAAGAGTGGCTCCAAAATCTCCAAGTAGGGCTCGTCTTGAGCACGATCGAGATAACACTTGGTGCATAGAATAGGAGTTTCGGATGGCAGTCGCCCTGACTTCAAGAGTATCGCTGCTTCTTCACAAGCCCTTTCAATGTCTGTGACTTCCTTGCGGCCGCCGAAGTAGGATGCCCAGCTTCCAGTGGTGAACGCCTTCCAACAGCTTGAAGAAGAGTGAGGCATTGCTTGAAGCCAGCACAAAAACCATATGTTTCTTTAGGTTGTCCCTCCATGTCCCTCCACCCACGGAGGACCTCATCCAAACTAATTAATTAGTGATGTTTGTGCTGGAACTGTTGCCGGGTAGGAGGATAAGCCAGAGTGTAACTACAATTTTACCATATTTTGCGGATGCAGTGGATGCCATGCTCCGTCATCGTGAATGTGTGTCAATCGAACCCACGACCCTAGCATTCAAAAGATTCTATATAAAGTGGCGTGACTGCACTGGCACCACCAGTAGCAGCAGATCATCATGATCATCGTGATCATCATCATCAGCAGCATCATCACCGTCACTCTCACTACTCACCACATCAGTATCATGGCATGCTCTTCACACCCGCAACCGCAACTACATACTACATGCTGACTGCATACTACCTACTACCTAATTACCTAATACTACTACTACTACTGCTGCTACTGCTACTGCTACTGCTACTGCTACTCCTACTCCTACTCCTACTCCTACTCCTACTCCTACTACGACGACTACTACTACTACTAATTACTCCTGCTGCTGCTCCGGCTGCTGCTGCTCGTGAACGTTTTGACACCAGAGTTTTTGTTATTCCACTGGAGTACAACCTCAAGCTAGTTCAATATTGGTAGCATTTTGTGACATTCCAAGCCTTCTTTTAGTCCGAGACAGAAAGGGTTCCTACTTTCGCACAATTCCACAACTTCTGACTGGCCTTCTGCATATCAATGAGAAGCAATGCTGCTCTGGGCTTGGGACTATCCTGGAGAAGCTCAATCAGGCTCTAGCAACCAAGCAACATCTAAGCCTGCATCGTGTTCGGAATATGTTGCAAATTGCAAATGGTTTGCAACTGAAACTCGATCTCTCCCAGTCCTGATCCTTCGCCATGGGATGTAGTAAGGTTTGGGAGCACCAGAGCCGGCCTTTGCTGAATTGTTGGCCATGTGAACAGCACAAGTGTTAAACAAAGTTTTCAGATAGTATTATAAGCGTAGAAGAATCAGAATGAGCTTTTCACCCGGAAAGTGAATACACAGAAAAAGAGGCGGAAGATGGCGGAACAATATGGATGAAATATTTGAAAGCCCGAAGAACGCCACGTTCATCCTGCAAGCCACCAAAGAGTGCAGCTGCTAGACAGCTCACCGTGCGTTGCCTTGATAGCTTGACGCTCATCGGGAGTCGAGAGCTGAGCCGTGTGGCCAGGCGGGGCAGCTGACGCGGATCACTCTGACAGAGCCGATCAGTCTGATTTATGTGTTTTATATACATCATGTGTATATAAATCAATGTAAATCCTGTGCAAAAACATTTTACATCTAAGAATCCGTCGCATACAGTTATTCAGTTACTGAATAACAAAAGGGGATAGGTACTAAGTTACTAAGCATGGCTTTATAGCTGCTCGTCAACATGATGCGTGAAACAAAAGAGCTTTGAGATCTTGGCTCCAGTGCAAAGGGCACTGCCTCAGCAATGGAAAATGTTCGAGATGCATCATCAGGCATCATCAGGCACACGTATGCATGCCATCTCCAGGCTTTGAATGTCGCTGAGACTGCCAATTATCCTTGGTGATATCATATCTTTCACTGTTGGCTTAAGGCCTGGCGACTTCCTTCAGGTCTTCTGCTTCAGTTTGTCTGACTCGGGTGAGCCCAATTCTCAAGTCAGTCTTTAGCAAATGACTAAACCTGGAGCTGCACGGCAAGCATCAAGATCCCCTTCCCAGGCTTGGCTTCCCGAAGTTTCCCCCGCTTGCGTCCAACTGTCCCACATGAAAGTCGTCAAACACCAAAGCCCCAACACTCAGGCCACAAGCCTGTGAGCGAGTAAGAACCATGCAGGGGACTACAGAAGCAACAAACACCAAAGAAACGACAAACGAGACATTGGGTTTCGTGATTTGCACCCGAGCTGTGCTCCCCACCAGCCAGAATGCTTTGTGCCTGGAAGGCGACAAAGCACATGCATGATAGCCGGATTAAGTCTGATGGAACAATCAGAAGTCAAAGTAGTCAAAGCCAACACTGGACCAAGAGAATTGGATGGAATGGGGCCGTATAAAGTAAAAAGAGCCTGACACAGCTCTAGATTGTTGGTTTCGAAATGCCTCCAACATCCTCCAACATAATTTTCGGAATTCGTCTGAGGAAGGGGCAACTCGAACTTGAACTTTGCAGCAAAGCGCAAAGCTCGGCAAATGCGCAAGGGATCGTCGATGAGAACCTGTCGTTTCGTCCAAACGGACATGTGTTGGTCCGAGGCCCTCAGCAATGTTTTGACCACAAATGAATTAGAAGGGAGAAATTCTGTTGACCAAAGGAGGTCACATCATCGCTGACCTCAAGGGAGGTCAGCTGATCCACACCGGCGTCACATGAGTACCCAGGCGTTGCGGGCTAGTCAGATGACCTTCATCCGACTCCGCATGGGAGACCACAAATCCGACTCCGCATGACTCGGCGTTCACTGTGGCGCTGGCTTTGCTCCACCAAAGGACCTGCACCTTGGCAGGCCATGGGCGGCCATGGGCCCCATGCTAAGCTATCAGTGTCGCTTCCAACATGTACAGTACTGAAGAGTCTGGTTAGGCGCAACGGCCAGTTGAGAAAGACTCTCCCTGTACAAGTATCATACGCACAGGGGGTCATTGATTTTACGCTGTTGGCGGGAAGGTCCTACGTCACGTCACATGGAAGGTCAGATGCTCCACGAGGATCAAGCAGCTTCGTCTGGGGGCAATTCCTGAATCTTCAAGTGCTTGGCCTCGAGTCAGGGTCGAGAAAGAGAGACAGAGAGAGAGAGAGAGAGTGTCTCTCTGTTGTGTGCCGTCCAAGTCTGCATCGGTGGATGTCTCAAAAACAAAGAATCATGGCTGCTTCCACTAGTTACATTCAATTAAGAAGTTCCTTAACTGTTAAGCGTGTTAGTTGTGAAATGTTCAAGAATCAGAAAGGATCACCGTTCTGCCACGTCCAAAGCAGCTCATCTTTTTGCAGCAGCTCGTTCCACCCAACGACGGGCTTGACCCGCGGCATCCGAGATGAGGTCTGAGGATCGAGGATTCTTTACCTGCATGGCGAACGTGGCTGAGCATCACTGAGCATCACTGAGGATTCGCACATCGAAATGATTCAGCCTTATAATAGTGGGCCTCTCTATCCTTAACAGTCCTTAACCTAATAATATCTAATAATTATATACATAGTATTATGATGTATTATGTACCATCAGGAATCAGTGCCATGACAGTGGCATGATGATCTCAGAGAAGATCTGGCAGAGCTCCAAATGCTCACACGGTATAGCTCTTGCGTGAAAACCCAATTTCAGGACAAACTCACTAGGATGTCACCCAGCTGCCCGTTGAAGACCCGCAGGGCAAAGACATCGAACACGGCTTTTCCAAGGCCGCCGAGAAAAAGTAGACCGAAAGCTCCTCGTCAGAACCACTGCGCAGTGCTGAGAAGTGGAATGGCTCACTGCCTACAAACCTTCCCATGGCTGGAGAGCACCACTTTGTGAAGGAAGAAATGGGTCACCTCCGAATTTGCTCTTCCTGGGCTTCCAAGACCAGCAACTACGCTTCTATTCTGTACAAGCAAGTCGTCATCAATCTACTGTACCCGCATTTGGGGCTGGGGAAAACCTGGCCGGGCCATACCTGAGCCTCAACCAAACCGTTCGCATCCTTCGCTCCAGTGTGAAAAAAGCGGAGGTGCGGTGCTTTGCGATTTGCTTCGCGGTGCGACCAGCGATTTGCGACTCAGAATCACCCAGTTTCCAAAACCGTGAAACTGGTCACCGGTGGAAAGACGTAGGGAGCCGATGTGGACCTCTCGAGGAGAGGTAGGAATCCCCATGTCTAAAACGGCAAAACTGTCGTGGCCATTTCAGGCCTGGGGGAGATTGAAATCGACTACCAACTTTTCTGGACATCACATCATATGGCTGTCGCATCCATTCTCCCACCCGAGAAGCTCTAGAACTTCAGGCTCCTGCAGCCGTGCGGGAGGCCTCCGCGTTGCTGGCGACCACGTTGACCACATCGGCCGCGAGGCACACGTAGCCGATGTTGTTTTCCAAGTTCCTCACACGCAAAACACAGCAAATGCAGGCGTTTGTGATTGGGAAGGACAACCAAATAATGATAGCCCACAAAAATGCGGCAACGATGCTTTGCTTGGTTTGTCTTTCTTGTCCTAACATGCACGGGGTCGTGGGGAAGGACTTCACGACAGGTTTCTGGAGTCCCTGGATGTGCCTGAAGAAAGGATGGAAACAGTCCGTTTCAGCCGACGCTTGCATGTACACATGTCATATGATGTTGCTTCAGTTGAGATTGGATAAAATGAAAAAGACGCTGACCTATATAGACAATAGACATTTCATATCACTTCTATGTCAAACTGATTGAAACTAGTGGGCCTCACGGCCTCACGCTTTGAGGGGCATGTCAATAAGTGTGTGTCCATTTGCTTCAACTCATCCAGACTTGCTTCGACTCAAGTTGCTGTGGGTCGAAACCCGGGCACCCTGGTTGACCCCGGGTCAAATGAACAAATCCCTTTAATCCCGTCTACCTATTATTGAATAATCACGGGCCCCCCCTATAGGGGTCCCTGAAAGCATCAAAAATTGAAATAACCTCCAGATCGAAGGGTATTCCTTTTTTCCCCTTACAAAACGATTTATTAAACTAGTGATTCTTCATTAGACTAACAACTAAAGCTTGCGAAAGCTGAGTCCGTGCCATTGGGGGAAGGAAAACCTGCTGGTGTAACACGGCGTGTCATGGTGGATAGACATGGTGGACAGAGGTGGGCAGTTAGAGTTGTTCTTGGAACCTAAAAAACACACCAAAATCGACCATGTTGGTAGTTTAGTAGGGGTTTTAAAGGGCGGTATATATCTTAAATTTAAATCAAACAACTATCAACTGGGGTTTCTCACATGGTGTTTTCTTTTAATAGGGGAGTGGTTATCTATATGTACTTGGCTTCGATATGTCAACCTCGTTGGGGAAGGACTCACAACCTATCCGTATCTCAAGTCCCTCCAATAGGACTCAACAGCTCCCTTCGCGTGTCGTCCAACGGCGAGCCGCCGTCCGAGCGTGTCGTCAGGCACGGCTCCTTGGAGTGATGGTCAACACGCCGGGGTTCTTCTGAATGACCTCCATGGCCCTGATGGGGCCAAGCAAAGGGAGGACGATGGAGGACGTCTGACGGCTATGACGGCTCGTGACGGCGGAGAAGACGGTGGAGAAGGTCGTGAAGACCAGGGGTGCCCATTCCAATTCAAGGTCTTTGGGCACCAAAATGTGAAATCGGGCACCGGAAAAGTGAAGGATGCAACAACAACTCTGCACCAAAGAAAAACCTGCCAAGCCACTTGCTTCGACAAACGCGACACACACGACGAAAATTAGCGTGTAGCGATGCGAACCGTAAAGACCGGCGGCCGCCTCTCTTTGCCCAAAGAGCGTTGTAGCACTTCTCCGGCTCGCTGAATTTGCCCCTGACGTCAAGGAATCCAATCAATCAATCTGCATGTTTGTTGATTGATCAATCAATCAAGCATTGATTTGCTGTTCATTTGATTGATTGTTGATCATCCAATCAAGCAATCAAGGAATGCCAGCTGCAGTGAAAGCTGCTGTACACAGCTTTCACCCTGTCCTCACCAAAGTACATCACTGCAATATTCTTTCTCATCGCAGTCAATGCAGCCTCCTCTCCTAGCAAGGAAGCAGTGGAGGCACCAACAGGAGTTGAGATGATATGTGCCGCAATGTGTCACATTGAGCCAAACAGACGTAGTTGCTTCCATTCCAGCCTCTCATTAAAGACCGCAAAATGGCCAAGTGATGATAAGCCTCATCCTTTGGTCTAGAGCCTTGACAAGACCAAGCACCACCATTTGTATCAAAATTCAGAAGATCCATATATACAATAATATATATATATAAATTCAACTCCACGCATCTTCAACTCCGCTATACCGGTCGAACCCTCCCCAAAAACGTCGGTCTCAGCCCGTCCCACCGGCGCAACGCTGCGTCGTCCCGGGTCTCAGCCCGTCCCACCGGCGCCTCCCGCGGCGGTCGTCAGAGCTCGAAATCGGCGCCGCAGTTGTTGCTCGGTCTGTGGGCCCAGTTCCAAGCTCCGCCACTGCGGGAGCACCTCGCGGCACGGGGATGTGAACGGTGGAGCTCGCCGAATGACGCGGCGGACGCCGGGCTTGAAAAGAGGGGGGGGGGGTTCGGGCCGGTAGATGGACAGAAAGGAACAACAAAATGTGAAGATGCTCCAACAAGTGGTCTGCAAGAATGAAGCAATTATTTATATTGATATGCAAAACAATGAGAATCGACTTTTCGTAAACTTTACCATCTACGGCGGGATAACTATATATACTACACATTGCATGTTGACAGAAGTGATATGACATTCTGAAATTGTTGTATACTATCATTGTGTGGGTGATGCGTTTCGATCAATTCTCAAAGGTCTTGCATTTCAAACCGAACCGAAGAACGTGTGGCTTCCGGAGGTTTCCGGCCTCATCTAAAGCATCACGGGCTTTGAGCTCACCAGCCGACCATGGTAAAAGCTCAGAGAGCCACTGGCCTGTCTCAATCTGCGAAGATCCAAATCTTGGACTCGTGGACTCCGGGTGAATGCCAACGGGCCGATCCTTTTTGTTCTACCGTTGTTTCAGAGTTGATGGCACAAACCCAAACATGCCTTTTACATGGAGATCCTTTCAAACCGCCTTTTGGGGATTGTGCCATGACGTGTTCTAAAGTTCAAATTCCATTGTTTGGAGTTCTACCCACATTCACAAACTCATGACGTGTTCCAATCACTTGCCGACATGCTCTGCCTGCAATCAAGTGATTCATCCACATGCGGATTCCAACCTTTCTATCCTCCCAGAAGCCTCCTTCTCCCTAGTGGAAGATCACACCAACAACATCATCCTGCCTGGATCAAAGGACTTTTCTTTGCGCGTGACCAGCGCATAGTCCTCGCTTTTCGGGAGCGAATGGAGGGAAGAAACGCTACACATGTCCGTGAAGAAAAGCAGTTCTGAAATGGATAGGTGACCAAGTTCATATCGTATTAGATAGTGAACAAATCACAAATCATCTTACTACCTAGCATTCTATCTTATTGGGTCTTGACAGAAGTGAATGATAACTTACATGCAAAGCAGTTGGAAAGCTCAGATGTTCAGACTGAACACAGAGACGAGACCTCTCCTGAGAGAAGTAGTTGTAGACAATTTCCTGCGGAGCACAAGGATGCGGGCAAGCAAATCATGTGAAATCAACCACATGATTCATGATTGCATTTTAAAACATCAGTCAGTATCGATGAGGTATACGTAGATTGTATTGTGGAGAATTTGGGCACCTTCAAAACACCTCGTTCCATCAGCAACACGAGGATTCTTGTGGTCCTGTTTCTCTGTTGAGGAGCTTTGCTTGGACTCAGCGTATCTGGCACATCTCGCTCTGAGATGGCGTCCATGCGAGCTGGCAGCTGGGGGTTGGCTGCAGAATGCCTGGGCACCAAACAAACTAATAGGGTGGAGGCCGTCGCTGTTAGGTTGGAGGCCATCGCTATTAGGTTGGAGGCGATCGCTAGTAAGTTGGAGGCAATCGCTATTAGTCTCAAACCACGAGAATCTGACTTGGCCTTGAAAGAAGGCTGTTATAAGGCTGTGAATCTAATAGGAAATGCTGGGCCCCATTGGTTTATAATGTTTTGTTGCCTTTCTTACATCTGTCAGCGGAGACTGAGTTGCCCCTGTGAGAAATACAGCACACACACCAATCATCACAAGTCCACATGGTTTGTTTCATCAAAAAAACCGGGACCTTCCAGTTCGACCTCCTGGAAGAAGGAGAATAGAACATCTCCCTGTTTCAATCAAGTCCACCATGTGTTCGCCCGAGCTGCCCATCCAGCCAGGCCAACGCACCCAACGCACCAAACGGCCCACGACGAGCGCAACCGCATCAATGAGTGGCGTATGAAGAAATGCTCGTCCGATCCCCCATGAGAATGCGTGGAGGGGTCGGGTCTCATCCTGTGGAGGGGTCGGGTCTCAATCAGGGATGGTTCCAGTTTGTGTGTCTTCTCTGACAACGTCTTCTTGCTTCGACTCGCATGGATCCAGGCCTTGCCAGGAATTTGTGTGTTTGATCTCGGAACTCTTGCTGACGTTGAGCCCATGTTGGGAAAGGCTTTTGATCAAATGTCTTGCTGATGCGCTAGCCGCTGCCATTTGCATCTCGCTTCTGAGGCGACAAACAATCTCCTGTTCTTCAGGGGTCCTGATAGGACATGCACCTCCCGATTGTTTCATATTCTTTCCAAATGATTTCCAATGCATGGAATGTTCGGTCCTCAAAACCACCTCGGCCACTTCTGCCACGGACTTGTTGACAGGGCCTGGGGTGTTTCCCAAGTGTTTCACTGTGACGAGATGCCCAAAGCACCGCAGCGGTTTCCGGCCAAAACCGATCGAAGCGAGTCGGAATGATGAGTACCGAACAGGGAGAGCGCAAGACTCCTTTGCAAAGATCATCCACCTCGAAGCCACAAACACGGACAGAAAAGGGAAAAGGCGGTGGGGGGGAAAAGAACATGTTTCACTAGCAAGGGCCATGCATGGATGTGGCAAGGCACATCTGTTCGGCCAACCTATCCCATCCTCTTCCTTTGGTAGATTCGAAACAACAGACCTAGACATGGGATGCGATTGCTGCCCCCTTGCCGTCTCCAGACCCTTTGCCACAAACCCAGTAACCACACAGCAACCCCTTCCCACATGTCTTTGAGATCATTTGCGCCTTTGTCACACTCAAACTCAACGCTCCTTTTCGCCCCATGTCTTGCAAACACATCCAATGCCCATGGTGCAATTTTTGCCAGCACATCAGCAAGTAGACAAGTCGCCCACGACCCTTCTAAGGAACCAACGCCTCCATAGAAATCAAAGACTTCAAATTCCAAGCCCTCAGTCAGCTTTGTGCCGGTCGGTGTCGCTTGGCTCAGCGAGATTGATCGCGGAAACGTGCATGATGAGATGGTGACAAAATATGAAGAGCCATATCATCCCTTTCCAATTTGGTGATGAGACCATCAAAAACTGAGGTGCCGAAACAGTGAAATGCAACAAAATACTACAAAATCAACCCGACCTTGCCATGCGTTCCTTTGCAAAGTATATAAGATATTTAACATAGTTTATATATGTTTAGATTAATATAATATGTAATATTTGTACAACAAATTACAAAGATATGAACACCCCACCCCCATGCCATAATCTACCTACCGTAGCAGGCACGGCAGGGTACCCGTGCGCGGTGGTGGCGATGTATTGCCGCATGGCCGGGTTCAACAGCGGTGACATGTGGCGTTTCGGGGTCCGTGAACGTGTTGAACGGCGTTCGCGGACCCAATCTCCTGGCACTGCACTGGAACTACGCACTCCGGGAGGAGGTCCTTTACCAATTGCCCGGTCGCTTTCCCTACACCCTGACTAACACGCCAGTGGGTCCGCCTTGCACGCACATGCGGCCGCACATGCTGCACAGGGCGGTCGATGATTTGGGCCACTTCTCACTTTGACTTGTTGCTCACCCGGCAAAGTATGGGAACAATGGGAACAAACGTTGGTGTAACACGACCTCACCCATGTGGCTTTTGCCTTTGACTACCGCACGCTTCTTTTGATGCACTGCGTTGTCGAGGGAACATGCCCGTCTTGGTCTTGTCACGGCTCCGTCGCTGTGCAGGATGACCTTGCTTCCGGCAAAATGTGTTTGGCAACCGGCTTCCAATCTGGTGTTCTAACTGGCCCTGATCCTCGGGAGTTTTAACTGACATTGAATGAGCACCAGGGATTCAGGCCGACCACGCTCCACCAAGCCAAGCTGAGATCTCTTGACCTATTGTTTCTGGTTCATGTCCTTCTCCTTCAGCACCATGCCAACGGCACCGTCACTGGAACTCCTGCCAAAGCGTGGCAAAGGGCAGCAGCCTGGTCGCGTTACCTCACAAACGCTGCCAATAAAGAAGACAGTCTACAAGACGCGTAAGGCCAACAGGAAAGTGAAAAGTGAGACACAAAGAGCCGAGGAGCAGGAAAAGGCAGATCATGATGGGGGGACTCTGTCCTCATGCTGCCATGCCTTTGCGCTCATGCGCTGACGGACCGTGGCTCAAGCGTTGGTATTTGCAGAGGCGCTCGTCATGGCCCACAGGACGGTATTTACAAGCCACGGGGATCCGCGGTGTTTGGATCTGGGGCTGTCATCCGTTCCCATACCAGCACCGACTTCACAGGTCACCAATTGAAACCTGTTAAGGCCTAACAACCCTCCATGTCGGAGACCTGTTGGAAGGTGCTGGTAGGTAATTGGTGTCCTGGTGTGCGGCTGTTTACGGCTGTTTCACACGGTGGTCCATGCACGAATTCTTTCAGCACGGATGGGTTTCCGGGAGCTATAGAAGGGTATCGTGGATGCAGAAAACAAAGTCACGGGCCGACGGGGTGCCAAGTAAACCAGATAGTCAGTCACATCCGCATCACAGACCCCGTTCTGAGGGGGAAGGAGAGAACTGGAGGGGGTATCGTCAGCCACCTCTTCTCCGCAGCTCCACGCAGCTATCCACACAAATCGGTTGGGCAGCTGGTGTCTCAACGCACAGCGGTCACAGGCTTTCAAGAAGGCCAAGAGGAATTTGCAGACCAAACAAATTTCAGGCTTCCGCATGGTGGTTCCTTGCAGTACGTGATACTCAACGGTGAGGCCACCAAAACACACCAATAGGGCCTCCATAGCTTGCTGCGTTGCAGCAGGTTGAATCGGACTGTACCAAGGAAGTGATTCTGCGGCGCCAAAAACAAGGCCGTAAAACCTTGCGAAAGCAGATTCGGTGTGGAGAGCCTTCGTAGTACATATGTGTTGTTTTTCAACTTAACAATCTATTTGTTTACAATGTATTTATCTAAAGTTGTTTATATAACATATTATAACTTAAATGAATCGAGCCATGTTACATCACCTCCCTTCAGTTTGAGGAACCGCAGCGTGAGGAACTCACACGGTGCGACCGAACTCTTTCAAGATGGGCCCCTTGCATTGCTTTCGCCTCGCTCGCCGGGGGCCCGCTGTACACCTCGGTCCGTCAGGGCCCTTCGGTTCGGCTGTGAAGGCTGAGCCTGGTGCTTTCGGTCACACAACGAGGGACGGGTCAAGCACACGAAAGCACCCTCCACAGGCTTCTATAGGACCCCTAGTAAGCTGTAAGCGCCATGACCATGCCGCCATCACACGGCGCACGGACCCACGTATTCCCGTGTGGGTCTTTTCTTTAGGTTTGTCAAACACCCTTCAGAAGGCTGTACTCAAGCGGTCATCCACGCACTATCCACACCATTCACACTTGGGGTGCCATCAAAAATGCCTCAACATCGCGTCCCGGTGGCCGGTCCTTTCTGTCCAAGAAACGAAGCAACAAAGCGCCAATCGTCAGGTCCCGGCGCCTCAGAGGCGTCGGGTCGGCCACCAAAGGGTCGGCTGAATCGCGGCTCTTAGGGTCGGTGCAAGGCATCCTCTTCCGGCAAGCCTCGCTGATCTCGAATTGGAATCCTGGGAGGTTTCGCTGGGAAGGTTTTTGGGGGGACGAAGAAGAGGATTTTTGAGCAGGAGTGCATGCGAACACCAACAACCACATGAAGATCATGAGTCGAAGATCTCTGTGACAGGCCAAAAGATGTGACAGGCAGCAACACTTGGATCTGGGCCTGTTGTCATCTGAATACTTCTCTTCACCAATTGTTGGCATCACGTCCACCTCTTTGCGCTGGCAGGAAGCTGTTTCGGCATCATCGCTCTGCGTCTCGCTCGCGGCGGCGTATGCGCGCGCTCGTCACCTCCGTCTTGACTCCATCTTTGTTGGTAAAGTGTGCCTGGAGCATTCGCAGCCGTTTCCGTTCAATCCCAATCCCACAATCCCAACCTTTTTTGATGTGAACATCCAAAACAACCCGGGGAGCAAAAGACGGTAAAAGAGAATTGCAAAATTGACATGTCTTTAATAAGAATAGTAATAATAATGTCTTTTTTAGATGTCTTTAGGGTTGTCTGGGGGCAAAACATCGTCTTCCCTCGACTTCTAAGAGGTTTTAATGCCACCTCCCCATGTGCAGCACTGAAGAGCGCGTGCCTTGAAGGTGTCCAGCTGCTTGTCTTTCGACTCGTTCGAAAGGATAGTGGCCTAAGAGACATGAAAGGTCTTGAGGTCGCCGTGCCATGGCTGGTAACGAGAATGATTTTAATCCACGAGTTCTTTGCAGTTGAATGAGGAAAAGGAGCAGGTCAGGTGTTCAAGCCCTTTCTCCGACGGAAGCAGCGGCACACACTCCGCCCTTCCATTGCTGGACTCCACAAGTATACAGGATTGTATTAAAATGCAAGGAGATCACGCTATGAATCGTGTCAATGCCATCGCCATTCTTGCGGGCAAACTCATGCAAGCATTATAATCTATAAATATATATGTTATAGTAAGATCATGTAATTTCTGATCTATTTGTACATCTTTTGTACCCTAGCTGATAACACCCATGCTCTCTCAGCTTCGGGCATTCTTGAACTCAGACAGGCCAAATTCCGGCCTGCGCGCGGCTCAACACGCCGCGGGAGGAGGTTGGTTTCCTCCGCTTGGCCACGTGCCTGCTCTCTACGTAGCCCCTCATCTCGTCCAGGAGCGCAGCCACTGTGACCTGCGGAGCCACGGCCGTTGGAGTCCAGCGCGGGTCGGGTGGGCGGTCGGCTGCGCCTCCTCGGGGCAACCCCGAAGACATAAGGTCAAATCCAGGTCATCTGGCTCCTTGCCCAACAAGAGGTCTCGGACCTGAAAGAGACGAGAGCTTCGTTGGTTTTGGTCCGGTCGAACGGCAGCTGCGGGCTCCTCAAACATCCTGAGCACTTGGCATAACCGCCATTGATGAAGACCGGGACGTCGGGTAAACCTTTCCGAAAACCACTGGTGGATTCTCCCGGCACGCTCAACTCTCATACGACGGTATTGGACCTCTCTTCACAGTCCAAGGGTCGTTGATCTTCCAAGAAGCACAGAAAGAAGTGCAAAATCTCAGCGTCAGTCTTTGGTATCCTGGTTTGCCAGGCAACGCCATTGTTTGATGGACACATTCTCTTCTCGGCGAATGAGATGAAATGTATAGTACAGGTCATCTGGATCTGGATGACAAAAAACATACACTAATAATATTATACAGTAATTATCTGTATATATATACATATCTGATCATATCTGGTATGAAAGCCTGGGCTGGCACTCACCACTGCAAAAAGAAACATCCAACGGGACACAATATGCAAGACAAAATGAATCAATATACAAACATGTTCATTCATCCGTGATGCCCACCTGCACGTGTACCTGGCAGTATCGAAGATTCTTGGGAGTCAGATTTCTTCAGATCAAACTCAACTTGAAGCTCCGGTCTCCCTGCTTCTGGAACCTCAACTTGAAGCTTCACAGCTCTCGGCGCACTCTTCTGACAACTTCTGTCCATGATGCACCGCGAGTCTTCGTTTGGTCGCAACAGCAGCAGCCTCAATAGGGCCAAAGGCGGCCAAAGTCAGCGCGAGAGAGACCAGTAAGTAATGTAGACTCTTGATTCGTACAGTACACCGTACACCCCTGCAATTGAATTGAAACACCTCTGATCACCTCTTCATATCGGGGAGTCTATTAATCAAGAGTCAACATTAGGGGCGGTAACAGTGACATGGGCCACCAGTACCATTTCCGTATGTCTCTGTCTGTCTGTGATCTTATGAACTACAAACAGTACCAGGATGTACCATCTGCCCCTCACCCATCAATCCTAGGCGTGATTCCTTCAACATCCTTCAACTTGATTCCCCTATGGCACCAATCCCCTCTGCGGACCGATCTTGGCCTGGCTCTTGCCAGTTAAATACCAGTCAGCCCTTGCTCGAGGGCAAATCTGATCCCTTAGACTCGGAGCAGAAGGCTTCCCTCGGTGCTGGCCACACAAGGCAAGCCACAACTGCTCCTAAAGGTAAACAAAAAGAGACGGTGACTCTTGCTGCCATCAAGTGGACTATACATAATCTACATTCCATGGCGCAGGCCACTGTCTGCAATTCTGCAAAGGTCTGTACAAGCCCTTAGTAGTGTAGACCACTGCCGGGGCATCTGTCTAAAACCAAATCCTTTCACCATCCGGAAGCATCAATTAATCTCAAACATTCTGAAACTCGTCCACCTCTAACTCCACGGATTCTAATGATTCTAACGTGGGAAGTCTCAAAGGTAGCCCTCTTGCTGTGTCCTCGCTCTTGGTTGCATGCTGCGCATGCTGCATGCCCAAAAGCCGCGACTTCACTGCCAGAGCCACCTCACTGGGTCGTGCCCAGGCTCGCTGTGGGCTTGCTGCGATGGAGAACCGCAGCAAACCGCCACCGCCACCGTGCGCGCCGCCGTCGCCACCTGCATCACGTCGCGGTGAGTCGTCGGAGTCCGAGTCGGAGGTGTCGTCCTCGGTGAAGGGAAGCACCGGTGTGAGCGACCTCTTCGGATGAGCTCTTCGAACCTTCTTCCGGTGGATGCCCACACTCGCCCCAGTGCCCATGGCGAAATGAATGCGCTCAACAGCAACACCAAAATATCCACAGGGCCGAGGACTTGAGCCATAGGAATCCAAATGGGGGTCATAAAGATTCGTGAATCATACATGTTTTGTGACCATCCACTGCACAAAAAGGTCCACAAACTCAAACTGGAAGTAGTACACACATTCAATTAAGAACCACTAGTCACACATTCATTCAGTTATATATATATAAGAACCAGCCTTCTGGCAACGTGCTGACCATCTGCAGCTAAGGAGCCATAGCTAAGCAAGCACGTGGGACGCAGCGTGCAGCCGCGCTTTCGGTCCCTGGCGGGCGATCGGAACGCCGGGCGTTCACCCGGTCGGTGCGCACGCCCGGTCCGCAACCGGAACGATCGGAGGGTTCTGAGGTTCCTCAGTCCATGGAAGTGGAGGGTTCTTTCGACCCCTGTTGGTAAGGGTGGTGGTCGTCTTCCGAAGAAGACGGGACCATGCCATCCACGGTAGCCAACCACTTCCACCACCATGTGATGTGTTCGGAAAAAAGTGTCATTGATCTCTGACTGAAAGTGTGAGGCAAGGCCACTTCAAAGTGAGAGATCGAACGCGACAAAAAGCCGCGCTCCTGAGACTTTGGGAGAGGAGGACCACTGCCTGGAGAGCGATTTTGCTGGAAACAGCGTCACACATGTTTTCGCAGAAAAAAAAGCGCCTCGCTGCTCCCTGAGATTTGATTATCGCGTCTGACATGAGAAGCTAGCAATTGAACTTCCAAAAAAAGAATGAGCCCGACCGTAAGCGAACATGCACTGTGAGTTGTTGATAGAACAAGCTATCCATGGTGTGATGGTGTATGACTGGAACAAACATCGCTACAACCTGCAAGCACTAAAGCCTATACTAAAGCATTGACAACCGAGTGCTGGCCTTGCAAAAGGACTTCGCTTGAAGGGACCTCACTGCACATCTGGATTTCGAAAGCGCAGGGAAACTGTGCTGTATCGGGTTGTTGACTAGAAATGCACAGGTAAGTTCAGCTGGTTTGTAGTAGGTCAGAAAATATGTGCAAAGGCCAATGTCAAAGAATGAGATGCCTGTTGCCTTTGTCGCGTTGTTCTTCTAGGCTTGTTATGAAGTGAAGCAGGACTGTTCTTCCTTAGAACAACATTTGGGACGTGCTTGTTTTGTTTCACAAACAATCTGCTATGTGCACAGCTCAAAAGAGCTGCTGCAATGGATCAGTAGCAGTGATGTTCTTCCAAAAGCCTCTCACATTTCTGTGCAGTCCGACCTGTTTTGTAGCGGAACAAATAAATATTCAGCAAAGGGTGTCAGACAAAGCCGTTAAACAAAAACCATTGTCGAACATGGACAGTGCCACACTAGGGCAGGGTTCAGCAGTTCCAAAATTAATATTAGTGTAGTTGGGGGACAGGAGAATGATGAGAAGGTTCAAGAGGTATACTATATCAGCCTAGAACCTGAATGACCTCTATTTTGGACCACAAACCACCCAAAATATGGTCTTTTCTTATAACGGAGGTTCAGTGGGTATACTATCAGTACATGCACGAGCCAGCTCACGGAGCCAGCTCACGAGAATGCACGAGCCAGCTCACGGTTCAGCTCTTCTCCTCTCGGGCCACCGGGCGAGGTGGCAACGGACGGGCAATCGGCACCTGGGACAGCTGAGTTATTTTTCATGGAGTCGTTTTTTCCTATGTTGTTCTTGTGGCTGTGGGTCAGAACCCACCGCTTTTGAAGAGCCCAACCCACCCCCACCCCACACATGGCAAACACTTATTTTCTATATGTTTCATATGATTTCATCCGTGGGGAGTCGATCACAAGCCGAATGAATCTGAGAGGCCGGCAAAGAGTCCACGGCGAATGTGGTGGAGTTCCAACAGCATTCGCAGCCGGCACTCAGATCATTTTATTTAACATTCTTGTGGCTCCAGTCCGGTGATTGGCTTCTTGTCAGTGAAGAATGCACAAGGTCTCTCTTGGCAGTTTGCTGAAAGCAACACAATTCAGCAGTTTTTGCTGAGCTTGCATTGATGCAAGTTGATGCTTGATGCGCAGGTTGTGTTGGCAAGCTATAGTTCTGCTGACAAACTGCTCACAATGCCAGTCGATGCCAGTCGTCAAGTCACCAAAACGGAGTCAAGATCTGAATCATAAATTCCTCGCCCTGACCGTGCAAAACGACGGTCTACATCACCGATGTTGCGAGGGAGATTCAAGCCGCCCCTGGGAGGAGACCGTGCTTGGACATTCACTTGGAAGATACGTTTGAAGAAGGCTCAACATCATTCAGCATCCATACAACACCGCCCTTTAGGCGCCCAAAGTCCCAGTGCATTTCGCTGCCAAATCGCAGCAACTCGCAGGTGCATCCTTTCTGACCCGTTGAATCCCGGCACCGCATGATGCCTCTATCCAAAACAAAGAATTGCTTGGATGCCGCCTTTCTATTCCTATCGATGCCTTTCTATTTCTGCAACCTCTCCTGATCTTTCAAAGATCTACACCGGTGCTGAGGCGACCTGTCTTTTTGGGGCTCCAGTGCAGTTACTCACGCCAGCATGACCCCGTTACCATCCAATCTTCAAAACAAGGGTCCGATGAACGCTCGTCTCGGAATGTCCTTGTTAGCATACCTTAAACATCCTTAAACCTTCGGTGGGCACAGAACCTCACGTTGAACGGGACTTGTAGGGAGTTTTTCTGCAAGATCTGCAAGGTCACAGTCGCCGCGGAATCGATGTGCGTTTGGCGCTTTTTTCACCAGAACCGAGTTGCCAAGAAAGATCAGTCCTCTATCTCAGCGATTAGATCTTCCACCTTTGCCAACACAACGCAGGAACAGAGTACATTCAAACATGGCTTTCGTCCAAACAATAGAGACCTGCGGGGGCAGCTTTCCGACCCGTCAACCTTTGTTGTGGATTTAGAAGGTGAAAGTCATTAGTTGAACGTCCCGCACACGCTGTACAAACTTCTGTCTGCCTGAAGTAATGTGCATGTATGTGAATTTGAACTATGCAAGGCCTTAAATCGGTCTTGCAACCAGGACTCACCTACCTACAGACGTTCACCCACGTTCGGATGCTTTGTCACTTCCACCCCGGCCTGCCACTGTGTGGCGGCTGCTTTGAGAAGCTTGCGTCGCTCCCCACGCCAGCCTCAAATCCGTTGTTCATGCGTCGTCCGTCGGCGGAACTTTCAAAGCTCAGTTGGAAGGACGCATGTCCTCCTGGGAGCAGTACATAGCAGCACTCGCCCAATGCCAGGAGATGACACTTCTTGTGCAACCTGCCCGGATTTCCGTCCAAAGCGGGGCCCATCCACCAGTCCCGGCGAAAACGTCCGGTACCAGTGCCTTGGCATCCTCGGACCTTCGGCAGTCACCCGCAGCACATCGCAGGGTAGCTTCGACCACCTCAAAGCGAGCCCGAAAAACGACCTGGTGCACTCCTTATCTGGTGAAAGACCATCCCTAGGGCTGCAAGGACCTTCTAAGAAGCTGTTTGGGGTGGGTTTGGAGGGTCATACCGTCTGAGGATGTACGACTGGAGCCCTAAACCATCCGAAGTCCAAAGGAACGAGGACTTGGTCGAGCCTCCGTCAAGCTGCGCTTCGACACCTTGGTGTGGCCGGTGTCGGTTTTTTTCGTGGACGTCTCAAGGTCTCTTTTCTCTCCGACTTTGCTTGGTGTGAAGCATCTTGCAGCTCCGTGGGCTCGGAGAAGCGCCGGAGTGGCGCCATATGTACACGGTGGAACACCGGCCGGGCGCCTGTACCAGCCGGTTCCGGTTCCCGGTGGTGGTCTTCCGTGCTACAGGCCTTTGAAGGCCTCACCATAGAGATAGTCATTCAGCGCGTCGCCCGGAAGCTTCCCGGTGAGCTGGATGTAGAGCTCACCCGCCAGGATGGGTGACGCCAAAATAGCGAAGACCCACCAGGGAACGGTGTCCTCCACTTTCACCAACTCAAGTTCGAAGACCCAGGGATATTGCCTGATAAGGGCTTGGATGCCAAGCAAACATGACTCGCAAGTCAATAGGCTTAAGGTTTTATGATGTTTTTTGTTGTACAAGACCACGGCATCATTATAGACATGATGCAACAACCGAAAATCCCAGCCATTACCCCGCAATGAAGCAACGTTTTAGGAAGCAAGCTGCTGGTATAGCCAAGGAGCAACAAAAGAGTTAAAATTATCGCTTCGAGGCTGCATAATAGATGCGGAAATCCTTTCCTTTAGATTCCTTTAGATTCTGTACAGTCCCCTACACCTCCAAGTACCTCCTCAGAAGGTATTTGGACCCTCCAAGCCCACCCCAAACACCTTCTCAGAGGCTACTTGGAGGTTTTCATGCATCACGATATTATGCCAGTTTTGTCCGGGACGTCCACACCGTCGTTTACCGTTCACTCTGTTCGCTGTTCTTGGTTCAAATGAAGCTTACCTTAAAGATCCTTAAAGGATCATCGTCGCTGGTTCCTGGTACATGCCCAAGTAATTTCGCTTGACGGTGAATGTAGGATTCGAAGAAGAGAAGGTGTACAATATCTGTATACGACATTGTTGAGAAACCGCTTACAGTACTTAATTGTACTTATATATGAATGTCGGTGCTATTCCGATAATTTTTGAGGCATCGCAGTTGAAATGAGTCGAAGTGTTTCATCAACTTGTGTGATAGTTGTATGTACCATGTGTTTCTTACGTGTTGGAATATGTTTACCCTAAGGATCCGCACCCTCAAAAAACAAGGGTTTTGAGGGTACAAACCCTTGTTATAGAGGGTTCGACCCCTTCTAAGGAGGGTCCAAGGATCCTTAGGGTACATCAAATGTCGTGCCAAATGGTGTTTTTTCATGGTTTCTCTGTTGGTTTCGTTGCCTACGTAGGATAACCTCGTTTGGGGAGCGGAGCGGTTCTTCATGTCGATCAGGCCAGCATTGTTCATTTGGATTGTCAGAATCATATCCTGTGTAAGCAAAAACTATATGTTTGCTGGAGATCACTCCCGTCAAGCATAGTAATTCATTAATAGCCGTAGTATCTCTGGAAAATAAATAACCATATATATATAAATGGTGTCATCCGTGACAAACTCAAGTCCCAGAATTCTTCCATTTGACACCCATCAACTGCACCTAGGTCGTATATCAAAGCCAATACTCGACATAACAATAACGAAGAGCCAAGGGGACAAGGGGCATCCCTGTCTTATTCCCATTGATTGCCTTTTACATCTAAATATCAAAACATACAAGTTGCATCTTTCTCAAAGAAAGAAGGTTCTTTGTAACAGAAGTGCGAACTGAACCAATATTTGATGCCAACATTCATTTGTTGATGCTAGATTTAATCGAATGCCTTCTGCCAATCAAGCAAAGCGATACTGGGGTGCATCCCTCCAGATTCAGAATAGTCTTGGATTATGTAAATCACATAAATATTCACGTAGGAGGTTAATTTTCCGCCATATTGAATTTTTGCTAGTTGTCACCGAAGGCATTTTTGCATAGGATCATTATCATAAATATCTTGCAGATACTACTCAAAAAGTGAAATTGGACATAACTCGCCACATTGTGCGCGTCACGTGTCTTGTAAATTGGAACAACACTTGCAGCAAACAGCGCTTTAGGTGCTTTTCGTTTAGTCCACCAACCATTGATTAGGTCAAGGAGGCAAATGCGATCATCATCGTCCAGCCATTTAAGAAGTTCTGGTCCAGATTGTTCATGATTCTTAGCTGCCTTCAATGCCGATTCCAACTCGTCTATATAGTCTAAAACCTAAAAAAGGCCTTGACCTGCAATATCCTGCAATAGTGTCGTCACAAATACCAGAGCTGTCAACCAACGCCAACGCCTCATTTCAGCTTCTGCGAATTCTATACTTGACTCCTTGACTCCTTGACTCCCTCGCCCCCGTGCGGAGCTTCGGCGGTTGGTGGAGCCACCGGGACCGAAGGAGAGACCAAGCCACGGGACTGGACCCCTGAAAGGACGAAAGCTGTGTCACGGTCAGATATATGCCAGTCCCATGGAGTGTCTGGGAGTTGGAAGTCAGATAAGGTGAGATACTGCTGAGAAGATTACTTAAGATTACCATCAATGACCATAATGTTCACAAGATTTTGGGTGTTTTTCAGTCACGCAGAATAATTAATAAGATATAATCAACAATATTACTATTATCTGTTTCTATCTGTTTCTCGCGATAGCCATCTCAAAGCCCGGAAAAAATGCAGCCCAGGTGACCCTCTTTCGCTCCAAATGCCCCACTCCAGCTCGGTGGGGCGCGAGGCAGGGACCCAGACTCGCTTCTTTTCACCTTCTCGCATTTCCAAAAGGGCACTTCGCCAACTGCTCAAGACCTGCAGTGCAGGATGTCCATGGGTGTTCTTCATCGGGTGGTTGGTATTTGGGTCCTGAGTGTCCTGAGTGTCGGGGGGGTAACATCTACCAACTGTCCGCTTAAAACAGGCTTCTGGCCACACCAAACACAATCACAATCACATGCACTGCATTCCTCCAATGCACCGAACCAATGGTCTCGTATAGGACCGGAATCCTTGAGTCCGACCCATCGCATCGGGACTGCGGGGGGGGTCGGGGTCCCAACACCTTCATTTACGGCAGGGAGCCATCCGAACCAGTCGGGTGCCACATGGATCTCACTGGTGCAGCCGGCCCTTCGGTCGTCCGGTTCGGTCCGGTTCGGTCCGACCGGGAAGTGTTTTGCTGGGCGGAACTGGCACTCCCAAACCGTTCGGTTTCACTGCCTGGTTCCTTGTAACTTGGACCTTGCCAGTTGGACCTGACGGCCAACAGGTCACCACCTGCGACTTGAAAAAGTCTGCAAAAGCCTCCATTTCGAGACCGTCAGATGCTGCTGGACCTGGTGAGACACAAGACGGCCCCGGACGTGCCAGTGGCTGGCCTCCGACATCTCGAATTCCTCCGGCTCGGGACCCCGTAAGTAGGAGCTGTCGAACATCTCACCATTCTGCACCTGATGGCGCTCCAACGGGCCAGCAACGACCAACAACTTCCACGACAGACGAACAAAAGAATGGGGAGATATACTCAGTATAGTCCCGTCAGAAACCAGATTTTACGGATGATGTCTGGCGTTTCGTTTTGACTCAAGAAACATCTGCTACAAAGGAATCGATTGATGTGCAAAGACAAATGTGCTACAAGCCCCATATCCAGCAGTTTGTCGGAATGATTTTGAGTCCCATCCAGGCCGTGGGTGTGATGTGACAAGGGCTGACTGCACCCTGAAATCCTTCATCTTCCTTCCTCCTTTCACTGGCACCCCACTCCATGGAACACTTGATCTGTTTTTCCCTGATGACATGTGAAAAACCAAAAGAACTGCCAGATTCTCTCTCCCACCCACATGTGGCCCAAGCTGCTGTCCAACCCGTGTGACGTATCCAAACCTGGGACGGCCGAGACTCGGCGTTCGAGGCGGTGACCGTTGTTAGGCTGAAGTGCTTGAGTTGGCGTTAGACGGGAGGATCATGTTGAATGTTTAATAGATCTCAGTGTAGATCTCGGAGAATCTACAATTTCTACGTAGGTGTTTTGCCACTTTGGAGTAAAATTAAAGAATGTGTTTGCCAATTTAACAGCTCTCTAATCTCTACCACCGGCTTCTACAAACAAAGCTGCTTCTTCACCAAGTGACCTTGGATCCCTTGGAAGGAACTGTCGCTCCTTTCTTCGCCGCTTGCAGTGTCTCGGTGGCAATCCCACTGGGCCTCCGGTTTCTCCGAACCTTGGGATTTGGCCCTTGGTATTTGACGATGTCCTTGGCTTTCGGCTTTGAGGATGGACACATATGGACAAACTCTCTTCCAAACATGGGCATTGATCATGGCCGCATCAGGCGGCCCCTTCGTTCTCAACGAAAAGCTCATGTCAGAAACTGTTTTCGAATAGCTATTAGCTTCTTGAAACTAGCAGTGATACACCTGTTCCTAATAGTGATGTACTTGCTACTAGTAGCAAGCATGCTTAAAGCATGTTTACAATCCGAGTCATGTACGAGACTTAGAGCATGTTCTTGGGGCGCCAAAAAATTGAGGCACTTCTCAAAAGGTATCCACAGTGGTTTCAGAGGTTCGATGGCACTGGCACCCCAGCCGATGTCTTGGACAGATGGGGATTGGGGATCCATCTAAACCAGCGACCTTGGGGGCCCTTGTGCCATCTACTCTCAATCCTAGCACTTGTTACTAATAGCTTCTTGTTACTAGTAGCGAGGCACTTGTTCCTAGTAGCGTCCTTGTTACTACTAGTAAGGCACTTGTGCCATCTATCTCTCGGTCCTAGCCACTTCTGGTGGTGCAAAGCGCGGGTCCACCGGTGCTCGCTTCGACTGCTTGGTGTCGAGCATGTTTCTCCGGGCGGTGAGCTGCGTGCGGTGTGCCGGTGCAGTTGGAATGAAAAGCATGGGTCTTGATAGAAGCGTACCTTATACTCAGCAAATTCATGGATGAAGTGGAGCTTGAGTGGAAAAGAATTGCAAAATGCGAAGACAAAATACAGAAACACCATAGAATACTCAGTCGAGGGACCGATCACACCAAGAAAAGACACTCCAACTACTCTGCGAAGTCGCATGGCGCAAGAGAGAATCTGAAACCTGAACCTCCTGAAATTGCCGTTCTATGCACAAATATCTTGAACCAATGCTGCGTCAATCCGATTCACGCTGGCGGCTGGTCTCCTTTCTCGGCTCCTTTCTTTGAGAATGGTGCGTTTCCGCGTGGCTGGTGTCAAATCAGATGGTGTCTCTCTAAGAAGTGGAACTTTGTCAAATGAGTCCGCTCCCCAAATAGATAGAAACGATTTGCAATACATTTTGAAAGGAGTCTGATTGTTCATTACTTTTCTATCTATTTGGGGGTCTATCTCTCTCTCTGTCTTTCTTTTTCTCTTTCTCTTTCTCTTTCTCTTTCTCATTCTCTCTCTCTCTCTCTTTCTCTTTCTCTCTGCTTTGGCCATGCGAAAAAAAATCACCCCAAAGAGCAATGAACAATCCAAACATCAAAGCGCCCATGTGCAGACTGTGGCCATTTCTGCAGGTTGATGCGATCTGGGCACTGAGGTCCTTACTGGAAGCTTCTCCAAAGATCCATCGAAGCATAGCTCCTTTGTCCAACACCCGTCGATCAATCACAACATGATGCAGTCTGGGCTCTGTCACACCTCGATCCCCGCTTCAGCCAGCTCAGACTTCACCTGCATTCGATGCGCAAGGCTCGAGCAGTACCGGCCGGTCGACCTCGTGTACCGTTCTGAGGCTCCAATGGCTGTCGAACACGTACACGACCCGTTCGCCAGAAAACGACGTGGGACGAACATGGGAGAAAAAGAGAAGCCTGGACCCCCGAGTTCCCCTTCGTGACCAACAAAAAGAGATCAGAGCAGTCCAAGTCCAAGAGCAGGTGATGTGAGTTCTTCGACATCGGAGTTTCGAAAAATAAAGGAGGTGCACCGACGACCCTCCGCCGATGTTCGAAGCCTATGTTCAGCTGGAAAGCAATGAATCAATGTGTTGCCAGTCTCAGCCAATTCTTATGTAAAGGATCTCAATTGCCATATACAACCATTATCAACCATTTGTTTCTGCTTGTTTGGGTTTCCAGGTTCGTCTGTGTGGAGCCCACCAAATTGCAAGGCGCCTTGAAAATGGCCCCCCAAACAAGACACGAAATCTGTTGGGCAACAAAAGCCGAAACCGCACGTAGTCACACACATAACACATGAATGTGTTCACCTGAACTTGGATTTGCTTAAGAAACCGGGTTTTCCATATTGAAGGCGATTGATCCAGTTCGGGAAGTGTTTGGAAACATCAGATAAACAGCGCCATAAAATCACCTGATCCACAAAAACCATACAAAACCATGCAGGTGAAAATTCTGGGGATTCGGGATGGTTGTTCTCTTGGACTGGCCGCAAGCGCGGCCGCTTGGCGGCCTCAGCTGAGAGGCCAAAGCTGCCAGCCTGGAGCCGGGAGTTCTCACAAATGCACCCGCCCCAAACGCTCATGGAGGGGTCTGGGGTCTCAAATTCCATGGTTTTCAGGGACCAGTCGGGGCTGTGAACAGAGCATTCAGTCTTGTCTTCTTTTCAAGCCTCCCAAGCAAAAACCTTTAGGATCCTTTAGGTGTAACTCGTGGGAGTCTGTCACGACCACAAATTGTTTAGAGGATTTGAGAGGAGATCGCACCGCTCCGGTCGCATGGCTTGGCCACGACCTTTCTTCCGAGCAGAGCATGGCCATCGGTTTGCCCCGTACACTTCTTCGGTCGACGCCTTCAGACCGGAGAGACCAAGACGTTACGAAGACGAACTCTTCCACCCCCTCCCGGGTTGCGACCCCGACCTCGGACCTGGTGGGGATTGGTTCCGGTCCGAATACTCTCCGGCCCGACCGGGCGTGACCGTCAATGGGTTCACCGGTGAAGCCTCCAAGCGAGCGAGTCGGTGACGTCCACGGAGCGTGGGCCCGGGCGAGAATGGACGGGTGGTCGAGTAGTCAAGAGGCGGTCTGACGGCGGACGGGAAGCGCCCTCCAATCGGTTGAAAAGCCTTTTGAAGTGCACCCGGAATCTGCAGCTCTACAGCACAGGGTAGGGGTCTGAAAGTTCGCTTTGAGGGTGTGGGAGTGTCTGGGAGTCTGGGCCCAAAACCATGGGACTGGCATATTTACCTGGGGTGGTTTCAGGGATGAATGTAGGCATATATGCCAGTCCCATGGATTCCCATGGAGTGTCTAGGCAAGTCTCGTCGTTCTTCCCGGACCTCGCAACCAGGTCCCGTCCAGCATGCACAAGCCTCCGGGACCATCAGCCGCAGCTGGTCAGCACCATTGTCCTGTTTGGGGAACCAGTTCTGTTCAAATGAGATCAATGCAAGATCTACTTGGTAAGCAATTGTGTTTCTTGGCAGATCAGCATTCACAGTCACGGGATCAAACAAAGCACAAACTCTCCCACAGAGTTGAAGGGGTGTTTTCATGAGAGGGTTTTTCAAAGTCTCAGTGGACAAGCCAGAAGAGTTGTCTTTTGCCCAAATCAAGACCTTCCACTCCAAAGAACATCACCTCCTCTCCGTTGAGAAGAGTTAAGAAGAATCAATTTCGAACATCTCGCGGGAAGGAGGTCCATTCCCCTGGGACCTGTGTGAGAGAAGGTAGAGAAGGCACATGCTAGAGTTACAGTACCAGGCTGTACCAGGCTTTTAACTTAGCGATGATTGCATTCCTCTCATCACTGAAGCTTTGAAGTCTGTCGTTTTCTCGAAGACGGCCGACCCGGTATGCTGGAGTAACAAGCCACCCGTCCTCTTCCACAAAACCATGCTGAAGTAACAGGGCATCACTGTCCTGCCGCAAAACAAGTCCAAAGAACAATAATTGAATAAGAAACGGCCGACTCAATCAAATCATATGCAAATCACACAAACTCATGCAATACGTAGTTGACTAAAGGAGTCCTTGTCACCATAGCTAAACACGATCTCTTCCCCAGGCTCGTACCTATCGGAAGCATAAGCACACTAAGCCTCACGATATGTGCAGAAAAAACAATCCACTGCATTAAGAATCAATATACATAAATCATCGTAAATCAATTATACGGAAATAAAAACATATCACTATAATTTGAAATAGAGAACGCATGAAAAGAATGTCAGCCCTGGCCCCTGGCCCTAGAACAAAGCCCCCCCCCAAACCCCATTGGTAGTAAGCCTTTAAACCGCCCAAGACCTGACCTGTCGTAGCGAGTCGTTTCGGACTCTGTCCAAATACCTCGAAAGGATGAAGGTCTGGAGGGACCGGGAAGGTCCGGGTATGTATATATCATGCTTGAAAAGACCCTTGGTTCAAGGGCCTAAGAGGTCTGATTAAATATGTTGTTTCCCCCCAACTCAAACACATCGTCTTGCTCCCAGTTTTCGAACCAAAAAAACACGTCCGACCGGAGCAAAGAACAAGAACCCTCGTCCCACGTCTCGCAGTCTCGCGCGGAAACGTGCATGTCTCGCGTGTTCGGCGTCACGCTCTGGTCGCCCGGAGCTGCCACAGGCCGTTGGTCGGATCAAACTGCAAGTCGGGGGGAGCCTAAAGTCGCCGCCCGATCGCGCGGCCATGTTCTTTGGTTTTTTTTCTCAGGTGGATCCAAGTGGTGAGAGAGGAATTCACATGAATTCACCCCATTTTTTGCAGCCAACTCCCAGTGGATCATCAAATCAACAGAGGATGTACTTCAGTATCACGGTATTGCCCGTGGTTCCAGTCTTTCAAAGAACGGTTGGTTGCTGTACTCACTGTCATCATACCCTCCCAGTGATGGAAGTGACTAGGCTTGTGGCATGGACCTTCAACAAAGGAGGACCCGACTCTCTGGTGTATTGCAGCCGGCAGAACCCACAAACACCGTGAGTGTCGCTGCCACACGGTGGGTGAAAACTGCCACACACGGTTGACCGGTTTGCATGAAAAATTATGAAAAAAGAGCATTGCACCAGCATAGATCCCAGATAGCAACTCATTCACTAATTCAAAAACAGAAGCACCTGAGACAAAAAGAGCAAGTGATTCAGACCGTCAGTGGTTCCAACAACACCTCCTCTCGGACCATGACCTCATCCTCGGTCCTCTTTTCTTCGGGCTCCACTCAGACCGGCAGCCGCGGCAGTGGACCAAAACCGCCGATCTGCCACCCTGTCATTGAGAAGTAAGGATGCCCAACAGCTGAAACAGCTACAGTACAGTGGTTTCAGAGTAGATGGCACAATCCCCCAAAGATGGTTTCTATGGAACCCCTTTAACAATTTTTAACAAACATCTTTGGGTGCCAGCGCCATCTGCTCTGAAACCACTCTATCTGATTCCATCCAAAGACACCGCATTTCGGTCTCCTTCCAAAGCCTGGCGCTGGTTTCGGCGGTGGTTCCGGCTCCCCGGCGAGGGCTTCCAATTGGGCTCCCCGGCGCCACTGCGATGGTTCACCTGGTCGATCATTGGAAGAAGAGATAAAACCTCAGCGCGTCGCCGAACCGCCTCCGCCGTTTCTGCTGTTCGGCGCGGTGTTGGCGGCTCCACTGGCCTGAGGGCTCTGGCTCGTCACCTCGGGCGGAGGCCGGCCGGAAGGGGAGGGATCTCAAAACAGAGGATGGAGAGTTTTTTTTTTTCAGAGCCAGCAAGTTCTGTCTGACAAATGAAGAGAACGAGGGGTGGGGTAAGGAAGAAAAAACTCAAGATTTGAGCAGCCAGGCGACCACCACTGCCCCGGAAGCAGCCATGAGAGCGGCTCCCGCCATTGCCGCGAAATCAACGCCTGATTTGTGACCAAGTAAGAATCACTACTTGGCTCAATTGTGTGACGATTTTGAATGGCAGACCGAAGCAGGTTGAACAACCAATCCGCTCTCCAAAGCCGAAAAATTATCCCGGCAAGAGACCCCGAAACAGTGTGTGTGAGGTCTAGAGGTCTAGTAGCAGAAAGTCTAGAGATCTAAACGTGTTGGGGTCCAGAGAGGTGATGCTGGTGATGAAGGTGGAGATCGTGGTGAGTGAGTGAGTGAGTGAGTGAGTGAGTGAGTGAGTGCGTGGGTGAGTGAGTGAGTGAGTGACTGAGTGAGTGACTGAGTGAGTGAGTGAGTGAGTGGGTGAGGGAGGGAGTGAGTGAGTGGGTGAGTGAGTGACTGAGTGAGTGAGTGACTGAGTGAGTGAGTGAGCGAGTGACTGAGTGAGTGAGTGACTGAGTGAGTGAGTGAGTGAGCGAGTGAGAGAGTGAGAGAGTGAGAGTGGGAGTGAGAGAGAGTGTGAGTGTGAGTGAGAGAGAGAGAGTGAGAGAGTGAGAGAGTGAGAGAGAGTGAGAGTGAGAGTGAGAGTGAGAGTGAGAGTGAGAGTGAGAGTGAGAGTGTGAGTGTGAGTGTGAGTGTGAGTGTGAGTGTGAGTGTGAGAGTGAGAGTGAGAGTGAGAGAGAGTGAGACTGAGTGAGTGAGTGAGTGAGTGAGTGATCGAGTGATCGAGTGAGTGCGTCAGTGAGTGTGAGTGTGAATGGGAGTGAGCGTGTGTGAGTGTGAGTGAGAGTGAGAGTGAGCACAAAGTGCTGCGCCTGCCACGAAATCTGCACTTCGAGGTTCACAAAGTGCTGTGCCTGCCACGAAATCTGCACTTCGAGGTTCACAAAGTGCTGTGCCTGCTACGAAATCTGCAAACAAGCCACATGTCCGTCCAAAAGTCACGATTCACTGCGCCTGTCACGAAATAGCTCGTCGAAGATCACCACCAAGTCCGCTGCACCTGCCACGAAATCTGCACTTCGAAGTAAAACCGCTCCGATCCCTTGCGCCTGTTACGAAAAGTCGTTTTTGGACCAGACCACCATGTCCGAAAATGCGCATAGCGCCACAACAAGAGCGCAGTCGCGACAACCACCCGCCACGCCCACGCAGATTCTGCGAGCCCGCGCAGTCGAAATGCACTTCGAGGATTCCGAGAGGCATGAATGTACTGTAAATAGCAGCGAATTAGCCGGACGCCCCGGTGCAACACCTCCATTAGACACCGGTGCTTAACTACTACAGTAACAACCCCTAGTGTCCACACTGTTTGGGGGAAAAAAGACAAACATGCCTTCTGAACATCGACTCTGGGAAACCCAAAGAAGCTGACATGACTCCCGAGTCAAACCCACTGCTTGATGGGCGTAAGATGGCGTAAGTGAAATATGTTGAAATCGCTCCGACTGGGTGCCCGGCTGGTGACTCCAAGCGCAGCGGCCGATCCAGCGGCCTGTATTCAGTGACGGCAAGAACTGACCCGTCGCATATCCTACCCATCAGTTGGGGTGGGGGACCTGGAGTCCAAGGGTTTTTCGAATTGTAAATATATGCTATAAGTTAAAAATCATGAAATGAATACATGCCCTATGATTCGTGGCCAACCATTGTTTTAGGTCCTTACCAACGAACCATGGTTTCAACCTTAGAATTTCCCCTAGGAGATGGTTGGACCCAAGTCCCGTAGAGAAGGGGTCATTTTCTAATCAGACATATATTGCTGGAGCCCCACCGCTTTCTATAAAACATTTGTTTTCAATGGATGATACAATCATTTGTTTTATCATACCTTACCAATTCCTAGAGGACATCTATAGCTGTCTTGTGCTTGAAAATAATGGGATACGAAAATAGGTACAAGAGCAAAACGATTGTCCTGAAAACTCGGGAGCAAAGATTGAATGGAAAGAAAAGTTTATCGCTTTTCTAGAATGCCTAGCATTTTCTAGACAGCGTTTTTACCTGGCCATAACCATTTAATTACTATAGACAAAAGTGATGCCCCGTTTTTTCTAGTTAGACAATGGTCCACCCAAGTTCACCTTGAAATTCTAAGGGGGTATAAGGATTTTTACACTACACCACCAGGTCAACCATTCTTTTATTAGACTTTGAAGGCTAGGGCATGGAGTGTTTGCGAAATGCAGCCATCACTGTGAATCATTGAATCGCAGTCACCCATCGAAATACTGTAAATACACGGAGACGGTCTCAGCCAACATATCCAGCCAGATCTTCACGGTGTTCCCGTCGGCAAGATAGTGACATCTTCACTTGAAGACCCAATCAAGTTCAAGAGGGATCAAGAGAGATCAAGAGAGTATGTATTTTAGGAATTGCCCCATGGCCCTGGCTGGATAGACTGGTCAACTTCCCCTCTTCCAGGAGGTCGTTGCCTGCGAGGTCTTCCTATTTTAACGTGCCAGATGGTCAACCAAGGCCCCGGCGAAAATGGAGAGGCCTCCGACCGCCAAAGCAGCAGCCCTACTGCTTGGAACTTCGCCCTGGGCTTTCTTTCGCTCCACAGGAAAACGACTTCAAGACATATGTGGGAAGAAACGCTGGTGATACTAGACCAGTCTCTTAGCATGTTCACTTTGAGCGGGCAGAATCAATCAAAACCGAATTCACCGAACAAGAACCATTCCCCATATCATATATGATTTTCCCAAGTGGATCTTATCATGCCAATCAACAACAATCCTCACGCCACTTCTTTGCATCTTCATCTACATGATGGACCCTATCCAATAGGTCAGACTCAGGCCTCACCCGCAAAGGCACGGGAGGCTACAGCATGGTGTGCACGAAGAAAGAGATCTTCAGGTATCGCATCTGAGAGCCCCTGCCGTGTTCACCGTGGTTCACGTGGAACACCACTTCGACTCAAGTAACAAAGAGGGGCCTTTTCAATGGCACCCGTTTTTTTAAGTTTGATATCGTGTTTTTGCATACCTGGTTCAGTCAAAGTAAAGGTTTGGCACCAGCTGGATGCTCAAGTAGAAACTCACATCAAACTGCTTTGGCTTCTACGAACTGACCAACAAACCGACCCGCCGCCCAAACCAACCAAAAGCAACTAAAACCGATGAGACACACACCCAAAAACACCTCGCTTGCACGATTCGGGAAGCAAAACGGACGCCTCCTGTTCCAGGTCTTGGTATGCTGCCTCCAAGGCCTCTTTTCGAGCCTGGGCCTTTAAGACCAAACTCTGTGGTAAGAACTGCAGGTCTTGCTCCTTCCAGCGCCAAGGCGCATAGATCTGCTCCAAGGGATACCTCACTCAAAAACCACCGTTTTTTTTCCCCCTTTTTCGGTGGCTCTCAGCCCAACATGTTCCAGTCAAAATAGGCAAGCAGGAGAGCAGGGAAAGGCATAAAGAAGTGATGATTCTTTGTGGAATCCTGCGATTTGGGGGCCTCTGGATCTGTCCAACGTACGTGTCCGTTGTCTTCAGTTCTCTTGAGTTTTTGTCATATATTTCCATGGTCTGTTCTGTTCTTTTGTTGAACTTCCTTTGCTTCGTACCGTCGACTTCTTTCCTCTGCTCAAACCCACCGAACAGGCTCGGGGCGGTGAGCCATGGGACCCAGCTGGCGACCGCCCAGCTGGCGACCGCGGCCAGCCGAACGACTGCCGGGCCATCGGCTCCAGTCGGTGATGTTGATATATTGAGATGTCGTTCTTTTCAAAAACATGTGTTTTCTGTTCTGCCCAGCTGCAGCATGTCGATATAAGGCCCGAACTGCTCGCGTTGGAAGACGAGCTTGGCGGCGAGGCGGATGGAGCTGCGTGGATGCTTTCTCCACCACGGCTCCAAAGCCTTCAGCTCCGGCGTTAACGGTGCCTCCGGTGACATCTCCACCGAGATGGCAGCTGCTGCTGGCAGTTGAACCAAGAGCTTACCTTCGGTCTGAAGTCAAACGAATACCGGACAGTCTCCAACCTAAGAGCGATGGCCTCCAACCTGATGTCTGAAGTCAAAGGAATAAAACAAGGAATACGAGTATGTCTGTGTCATTGAGTGTCTGTGTATGAGTGTGTCATCATAGAAAAGAACAAACGCACGGAGTGCAAAATGTTTTGACCAAAAGCATCTTTCAACTTCTTGTGCCTCTGTCAAATCTCTGTGTGCAAACCACACATCTTCCTTCTTTGTCGGGCAGAATCTCCAGCTTGGCAGACCGCTTGATCGACGAGGAGTCCATCCACGTGACGAAGCGCGACGTCGCCTCATCCGTCCGCACTGCTGCGAGTTCTCGGATTCGTCGTCTGGTCCTCACTGCAGCTCTTTGGCTACAAAGCCTGTGGCTTGCGACCGCGCCGCCGAGCAAACAAAGAGCCGTTCGATGCCTCCGGCTCCGCCGGAACTCCCGGCTGTTTTCTTTTGAGCTGCCAGGCAGCGGCATGTTGGGCGCCCATGGCGCTCCAGTGACCGGCGGTGCAAGCATGTTTTTTCTCCAATGGCCAAGGTCTAAAAACATCTGGATAACTCTGGAATCATGACGAAAGACCTGGAATCAAGGATGTTTTTAGACCTTGGGCTAAGAAATCCAATCTGGATGGATCATGATGAATCCGGTCTTTGATTGCAGTCGGTGCACTTGGTACAGTATGTCGCAGTTCTGTGCATCCCACGGTTCTGTGTTGGCGATGTTATCTGTCGTCATCAGTGTCTGTTCGTCAGGTGGCGAAGCTTGCAAAACGATTGGACGAACGGCCTGACGAACGCCCTGACGAACGGCGGGATCGGACTTTGGGAACCCTTCCTTCCTTCGACTGGAAAAGGGTTCTGGTCATTGTGTTCGCACATGAAATCGTTGAATCTATACATTGAGCCACTGTCTAGCTGCGCAAGGTCCACGACCGCAGCTAGCAAAACTGAAGCCCATGCAGCTGCTTGCGATGGGCATTTTGATGAGGCAACAGTGGCGCTGGCCCAAAGGACATCATTTTGATTTGTTAAAGGGCGAAACTCCTGAAGAGATCGGCGTTCTTTGAGAGTGCCTGAATTTAGAGCACACCCTATGTACATCGGAGATTCTGGGCATGACGGAGACCAATCTGTTGTTCTGGTTCACCGTGCTTGACCTTGCTGGACCTTGCTGGACCGTGGTCACATGTATCACCCAGCAATCTTCCACGAGTGAAACTGAGACCTGTTCAGCTCTTCTCATGGTATGTCTTGCTCCTCCCATTCCTGGTGCAAAAACGCGCCATGACAAACACACCTCTTGGTATTCACCGTCTTGGACTGAGTATGACTGATGATATGTCTTTTCTCGGTAACCTGGGGTGGCAATGGGGCCTACTGAGCAGTGAGCAGGGCAAGCAGTGAGAAAGGAGTCATAAGGTGTCAAACGCAAGTCTGCCAGTCAGGAGCCAGTCTTGTGAAAGGTGAATCAGTTCGCTCAACAATCAAGTTGAAACAGGTGAAACAAATGTCCCGTGCGGGGCTGACCGCCCGGGTGTATCGCACTGGGTGTATCGCAGCACTGGGCCTGTTCCAGTATCGCTTGGGCTTTACGATTCTCCTGGCACGTCGACCCACGGCCGTGTCTGGCACTCAGGTGGTCGAACAGTGAAAAACTCAAACAGTAGAGGGTGACCATCGTTCGCTGCGAGTCAAAACCTCAAACCATCTCAAACCCCCCCCCACCCAACCATGGTTTCGGTGGACATCCCTTTTTTTGCAGGATTCAACTTACATCATTGACCCACTTTCGCCCAGCTGGGCTCGCTGTCTAGCCAGCTGGCTCGTGCAGCTCGCGCGACACGACGATTCCCAAGCATGCCGAGGAATCATCAATTCTCTTCATGGCTTGCTCCAGTCCAATGATGTCGGCGTACATCTGCCCGTTCGTTTTGCGGCTGAACGCGTGTGAACGCAGAACGCTGGAACGCTTGATTCCACAGCGTGGTGCACAGAACGGCCGGGGTGGCGGGTCTGGTTCTTTGTTTGTACAGCCTTTGCCTTATTTCATCTGATTTCTATTGATTTCTTTGTTTAGGTGTGGAAATATCAAGATGTTCGCAGTGTTTGACATTTGTGAAACACACTGCGAACACCCCGTGGTGGGTGATCTGACCGCCATCTTGTTTGGTGCCTAGACTATACTAATCTATACTATAATAATCTCGAGATATCTCGACGAGTCTTTGATCCTTTTCTTCAAATGTTCTTCACGCAAGTCTCAGTCAAATGTTTGCTCTGGTGGCTTGCGTGGGAGTGAATATGTCTGGACAGACATTGAGAGACAAAATATATTTGTCATGTAACTAACGTTAGCTTAGTGTATACATCCCAGGCATGTTGGAGACCTGCTGTGATGAATTGATGCGGGACACTTGTGTCATCATGTTTTGCATACCGGATTTGGAAGCCAGACTCCCTAGACTTTCAAGACCATTATATATATATATAACAATTCTTGACCTGGTTTTTGTAGAGTAAAATCCTCAGTTCATTCAGTAAAGCCCGTTAAATTAATGGTGATTGGAAGCCTAGGGGACTGTTTTGTGTGGGACTGTGCAAACGCAGCAGTGAAAGTCCACTACTGTGCATTCTCAGAGGTGATATGAGACATCACAGCAGAGCATACAAATCTCTTTAGACGCTGTGTTGCACATAAGGAAAAAGCAGAGGATATGGAGTATGTGGGGCGTCCATGTTATAGTTACTAATTGTGTCTTCAATGGCGGATTGCTGCGGTGGGGACTCCAAAAACCACCCACCGCCGCATAAACCACCCAGCCCCGTTCCGGATGGTCTGGGTAATTACCGTGATCTCAGTCCGTCCACTTCTATCCCTCGGCTAAGCACCCCGCCTGGTCGCGGTACTGCGACGTGGTAAACTTGTGATCTGCCAGCGCTTCGTCGCGAGTCCCGACCGGTCGTCGCTTCGCGTCGCTCGCGTGGTGGAGAGCGGGACGTTTGGGGGCGGCGCCAGCGGTTTCTTCGGCGGTTCGGGGCCCGAAAAAGCGGGTGGCGTTCGGTCGCAGTGGTTGCCGAGGCTGCAGCTGTCCGGAAGGGTGAGCTCCAAGCGTTGCCCAAAGACCTAAACCAAAAAGCTTCGAGCGGCAAAACCTAAAGCAATGACAATGACAGTAGCTTGACACGAATATATATATATATATATGTGTGTGTACGCCTTGGATTCAGAGGTAGTCTTTTGGCGGTTGGTTTTGCATGTTAGCAGGGTCACTGGAAGGGAAGTGATTGGGGACGCTCAACCATGTACCTGTTTACGCTACAGAGATCTACACAGCGATTCGTTCGTCTCGCTCAATATATAACAGAAGCTCTTCCACCCTTTTGAAAGTCCTGAGGCAGTGGCAGTGGCTGGATTCCACTGCATCACTGAGCTGCATCCACTGCTTACCAAGGTTTCTTTAGGGCCGGTGGCATTGCAACCGTACGTATCTGCTCACCATGTGTGACTTGCCACGCTGGTAGTAGTTCATTGTGCGAATATTGTGGAGTCATGTCATGTCCCAAGTCTTTTGACGCAATTATATTCAGACACCAGTCAATGAATTCTGCAGCATTGCAAGAAGGCTGATGGTCTGAGGCTTCAGCTGGTTCAGCATCGGGGTCATGGAAGGCAGACAAATATGGATGTCGTAAAGCCTGTGCGGCTTTTTCAAGCCCAGTGGCCCAGTGGCCCAGGTCCACAGCTGACACAGCTGGCCGAGGTCTGCCGTTAGCTTTTCACCCCCGTTCACGGAACGAACTCCGGTTGGATGTTAAGTGGAGCAACGTTCAGTTCATGCCCAACAAAAGGTTACTCTCTATGAAACAAATAGGAGACAATAGGAGTATGAAATCTGCAGTCTCAAATGCCATGATTGTTTCAATGGCAACATATCATGTTTGGGAAAATATGGAAGTGGGCTGAAGCTGGCTGAAGCTGTGAAGAAAGACAAACGTGGAAGTAGTAATTCAATGTTAGCTTGCAGGTTAGCATTGTTTCACCAATTTCCCATCTGTTGACCAGATTTGCGACGCTTCCCTGTTAGTGGAGTATATGAAGGTTTTTTCACTGACTGGGTAGCTTTGGGAGCAGAAAATGTAGACGAATCTCCATTCAACAACTCTCAGAGGCCCCAGCAATACAGGCGATTGGCTGCAAAGCTGCAAGTAGCGTGGTTCGTTTCATTCTGCAAAAGTGTTTGCTAAACAAGCAACTGTCTTCGCAAACCAGTCAGGACACATGTTTAGGGGAATACAGAAAAAGAAGAACCGTCGAGCAGCCCGTCGCAATCAATCTCATTACTGTTCAGTGGAATGAGAAATACAATTGCGCCTTTCATCCCGGGCAATCAGTTGCCTACTATGTCCGCCAATATGCACATGGATGTTCAACATACTACACAGGAAACACGGATGCAAGGAATACCCTCAGACAGCCCGTCGCAATCAATCTCATCACTCTTCAGTGGAAGGAGAAGTACAATTGCGCCTTTCATTCCAGGAATTTCGATGCCTGTATCCTCTACTATCCACCAACATCCTCCCTTATCCTCCAATATTCAACTACACTGCAAACACGGCAACGAGAAAAGACCTCAGACAGCCCGTCGCAATCAATCTCATCACTCTTCAGTGGAAGG